CAAATTGCGCGCATTCGACATGTGTCAAAAATAACGGAAAATAAAGTACCTAAGAGTTTGATGAGTGCCACTCCTTTTTTTGAAGCTAAATACCCCAGATTTAAGTTCAATAACACAGGGACGGAAAAAACGAACTCCCATTCTACTACTTTCAGCATGCAAGAGGGCTTCGGGTGGCGCTAATAAACGTTCAACCATCTGTCTGAGCCTGAGCTGTTTGAATGAGGTCGGCCATATCGGCTTCGTGATTGTTCGTGGGCTCTGCGGCACGCCGATTGTTTGTCTCTGGTTCGTAAAAGTTATATTGAAAGGCATTTTTGGTCACTATTTCTGCATTGAGCCGCAAGATGCTGGTTGTGGTGTTGCCTGAAGTGGATGGAAATAACAGCGAACGGCATAACACAGTATGCCTTTTTTAGAACTCCGGTCTGCCTATATCTATTGTCAGCTTTTTAGTGGAGGATGCTGCAACTCCGGCGTCTGCGGATTTTGTGACGTTATGAAATCTAAAAGATTCGCCTTATGGAATGAGGCTAAAGAAGCTTTCGAGGAGTTGCAAGTGCTTCGTGATACACTATGAATTAATCGCTTGCGGGTAATGAACACACTTTACGTGGTCACTGAGTCGAACCGGGGTATCGAAATCCTGGGGGCACATCACCAGCTTGTGGCAGTTAAATGCACGTTTGGATACAAATGGAAGTCCAAGGAGGTTGGATCACGCCTAAAGGGGTTGGGTAGCATGGTTTTTCATTTCTTTATTTCAGAGCTCACCGTGAGTTCATCGGTATTCTGACTGAAGTTCAGCGGGGGCGAATTCGTGCTGCCGGCTGTGGGGATGAGGCTCAGCCATGGGTCCGATGAGAAGTTTTTGAAACCGAGCCACTACTTCAGGAGACTTTCCGAAAGGGAAAAAATATCAAAGCCTCTTATACAAAGGTGGACAGACACCATGAGAGCAACAGGCCATGTGGAACAAAATTATAGTAATAAAATAGCAGCCAGCGATGTACATAATTTGTGTACAATTGTAAGTGAATGTAAGCTGCCGTACAAATTAACAATTTTCGCAGATGCAAAAGAGAACGCAGCGAACCGTATAATAATAATAATAATATTTATTCCTAAATATGCCGGCACACCATTTTTACAGGTATGAACAGGTTTTTGTATGAATTACACGTATCCTCATGGAAGGTGATCTCAATCCCCACCTATGATCACTAGAAGATGTAATTGCTGCATTTTGATATAATGAAACGTCCTAGCAGAATAAGTATGCAAAAATTTACAAGTCGGATAAGTGGAAGTATTGCCTTCGCACTAACAAAAAACCAGGTTTGTATCTCTACACTACGTCATTTAAATCACCTAATAATAATAATAATAATAATAATTCAATTTATTGCTACCTGGAGAAAAATAAAGCTTGAGGCTAGTACCTACATTGTGACAGTAAGTACTTTTCGCTTGGGATAATGATGAAAAGTTGATGGGGTAATGTTCACAAAAGTTGTTTACTTATTGCACTTCATTGATGATTCCGCAACTGTAAAACTCATGCATGTTAATACCATTTCACATCAGAGATTCATAGTTTTGATGAATATTACAACTGAGAGTCAAATATCTTCACTTTTCTGACTTCGGTATCCAGAAGCAGCAGACTTGCTTGGATGCGCCAAGTGGACTTCCAGGAAATCTTGTCCGCCGTTTACACTGGTCGTGACACCCTTGTGGTCGGTAAGCGTCAGACTTTCCTGGTCAGTTTTATAATGGGTAAATCCCAGATTTAGGTGAATGTGAAGTTTTAGTCCAGATTTGAGATTTTGTGACGCCACCTGTTCAGAAAATGTGAGCTCCCTTGAATATCTTAGTTGGTCACATACACTTTTAAGAACGGGTGGTTTTGTAGACTGAAGATGCAGTTAGATGTTCACCGATGGAGTACCAAAACATATGCGACCACATTTGCCTATCTTGAACCGAAGTTTCCAAGCAACAGGCCGTGCGGATATTACATCAAGCTCCCCTTGTATTAGTGTTTGGGAGTATGATAAATCATCACTGGTGAATGCGTTTGCAACTTTTAGGTCATCAGCACACAAGAGTAGTTTACCGTGCGTAAAGTAGCTGCAGATGTCATTTACGTGTAGAGCAAAGAGAAATGGACCTGATACACTGCCTTGAACTACACCAGTGGTGATTGATCTATGTTCGACTCATGTCTCACTACTTAGATTCAGCTAATGCGGTTTTCAATAGAATCTGTTTTTCTTTGCAGTGCCAGGTGGATTTTTATCAAAAGTTTGGGGAGGTTGTTTGCATAGATGCAACCAGAATGCCAACAACGTTGCGTAAGTTGAGTCAATTGGTTTCATAGGGATTTAGGCTTTCTTTGCACCGTTTTTGGTAACTGACAACTTTGGAAAGAGGTAGCTCGTTTTATATATGGAGCAAGCAAGGACCGGCGGATGATCTTATCTGAACTTTGGATTCTTTCAAGAGAGGGGTTATAACTTACAGGAATGTAAGGGTTATTAACCCTATGATGATGAAGTTCATGGATGCGTGACGACTTACGAATGGTTCTTATAGGATTAAGCGTAATTTTGGGAAGCTAAGACATATGCTGAAGCAACTGTGGATAATTGGGCAAGCTAGGAAGAAATACAGACCAATTTCAACAATTTCCCTTTTGTTCCTCGACGGCCCTGCATTACCTACCCCGATAAATTCATACTATCTGCCTCCAGTCTTCTTCTCAGACTAAACTACTGGGTGCACATTGCCTATGCAGAATGAGTGAAGCGAATGGACGTCTGTTTTCCGTCTACACAACTAAAAACCATCTAGTCGGGAAAGGCCTTTTCATAGACATGGCTCTTATCAATACTTATTCAGGATGGACCAGAAACTTACGTTGGTACGGAAGTACAACTAGTCTGGCAGCATAAAGGGGCGTAAAACGTCATAGTTCGGATAACGTTCCATCAGAATACCCGTTGCACCCACAACCCCGCTCCATTATAATCTCTTTACACCAGTGTTTCAGCAGTCGCTTGTCAGGCGGGCAGAATTTCATATTAATTACGAGATGCAGTCCTTTTAGACATCAGCCAACATGCACTATGACTTCGAAGTGGCATAGCTTGTCCACACTCTGCCAAAAAGCCATCCTATCGTGCACCTCAGTTTAATGGTTAGGGATGACTTATAAGCAAAATAACTTGTTAGGCCAAACGTGGTATGCCGCCGAAACCTGCAGTTAAAAAATTGTAAAATATATCGTATTTCCACTAACTTTACAGCACGACTTAGCCGTTTTTGCTCCGGAACAATTTAGTCCTTGGAATGTCTTTAAGAGACCCAGACCGCTTAGTTGCTCTTAAGCCGCACCTAGTACAATACCGGAGGATCAGATCACCCATAATCCCCTCCATCCTAACAGATCTCTTCTAAGCCTTAGTCGGAAACGCGGCCTGAGGGGTCACTCGTTGAGAATAGAGCATGAGAGAGCACGTACAAAGATCTGTGCTAACTCATTTGCGGTTAGAGTATGTAAACTGTGGAACTCCCTCCCTCCAGCAGCTGTTACAGCCCCATCCCCTGGTACTTTTAAAAAGAGATTGGATGCACACGTCGAGTCCTACGGTACCGATGGGCCGTACTCGGGAAGCTTTCCACAGATCAGATTCAGTAATACTACCTTGAGATCAGATTAATTAATTAATTAATTAATTATTCACATCTCTATCTTTTCAGGTTTTTCAGAACTGAGAAGATAATTGTGACCTTTTCAAACTCAAAACGTATTACAATACGACAAACGTGGAACCCAAGGGACCATCATCCACTAATTCTACAACACGAAGTTTGAAGTTTGGCAATGGCTCTCAACCAAAGTTGGTCTCAACAGTATACCGGCCAACAGCGTCAGTAGACTGCCAAGGCCAGCGCACCTGAAGACCATACCCAATCCCAGACTACTTGCCGTCCAGTTCGACTCATATGCCTCCCTCACAGACGTTCTGCACGCATGGTATAACGCGAAAGATCGCATGGGTGGCTCAATACGTATATGTGAAAGTAAGCCTAGACCCACAAGGCAAGAGGAGAGACGGCAACCACCAAGACCTCTGTAGTCAGTGGTCGTCAAGCAGACGCTGACCAGTGAGTCAGATACATCAAGTAAAGAAGCCACCACTGCTACAGCCCCCACCCAAGTTAAGAACAAAACACGAAAAAACGGAACAATGCCAGTCCTATGAGGACTGGCGAGGCTAAATTCAACCACGTAAGCGCTCATCCCTTGAAAATACACATCCAGACCTCCCCTCTCATCAGGCACACTCTAATATGTATGTACAGCAACGTTAGGGGGCTAATAGGGAAGGTAGCAAAAATGAGGACGCTGCGTGAACATCAGCACTACGACATCATATTCATCACCGAATCCTGGCTCTCATCGGACATCTCCGACGAAGAGATGCGTGTTGCTGGCATGGAACTCTTCCGCAGGGACAGGGAACATAGAGCAGGAGGAGGAGTGGCTATCTACGCAAACTCCTGTTTAAAGGCAAGGATGGTTAGCGATACGGCCTTAACCCAGCTCCCAGAGTCTCTATGGTGCTACTTCACTCTCTTCTTTATTCTCTCTTCATTCCTTTACCACTACCTTACTATTCTCTTTCAGGTACCTACACAGACAGGAGTCATGGCAGTTCTCTAAACTTACCAGCAACCCGTAGCTCCCTAATCACTCTACAAATTACAACCTACTAACCCACAAAACATCCACCTCACCGAAGCTAAAAGCAAGAAAGCAGAGGGGATTTCCTCGTCCACTGCAGGAGTGAACCGAACAACTGGAACCAAGCCCTAAGAACTAGACGCGAGAGATCAAAAACTACCAGTTTTCTACGCTCGCACTATCAATATTGGATATTGGAGTCACTGAGGCTTTCGAGGTTGACTTCTTAATCGAAGGTCACGCGCCTATATCGATTCGATTGCGTGATCAGTAGAAGTCGGTATCAAGGTTGTCTATTTAAGTTCATCTCTAAGGTAGTGTTATTTTAAGCCATCCTGTTTACTTACAAAATACCTGTTTCCAAAACGCTATACAATAAGTAGTATTAGAACCACTAAACTCCATATAAATGCATCACTATTGTCCACTTACTCTCCAATTAGAGCGGATTAATCCTCTATTTGTTTATTAAAATTGTGAATCTGAGGATGTATTGTGACAGTGTCATAATTATCTGCAGCCTTCTGCCATCTAGTTTCAGATATACTGATGGACTTCGGTTAAAGTTTTGTAGGTTATTTAAATGGATGGTTGGATACTGAATACTGAAATAGTAATTCTTAACACACACTTTATTCATATTAATAACCCATCTATACTAGCGAATTTCGCTTGTCTTCCTGTCTATTCCCCCAAAGTCTGATTCCCTAATCAGTTGTTATTTGTCTCCTGACAAGCAGTATGGAAAGGGGTTTATAGTGTTCTGCCCGTTAATTGAGCTTCAACATTTTTAGTGTATAACTTCCACCACTTAACAGTTGTTTACCCGTTAGTTTCTTCGGCATGAACTGTAATGTACACAGGTTAGACAACTTTACAAGCACAATGTAGACGGATGTTGCTAATTCAATGGGTGAGGTTGATTGTCCTGCACCAGAGAATACTTTAAGAAGTTCTCCAGGTCCCTCCGATCCTACTGCCCAGGTAGTGCAACTACTTGACATTTTCATGGCTGTCATTACGACGCCCAGGGATCTTCATCTAACATCTTGCACTAGCTTTTGCAATTTTGAATAATCAAAAGATGTGTATGTCTTTAAACCCCATGCCGATGACTGAAATGTAGTCAAAGATACCATCCTGCTCATCGCTCCTAGTTCATACCTCCATGTATTCAAGTAAACGGGATTAAAATTAACTCGACTCAAGGGTCTGCAGTGTTCGTGAGAAATATAGAAGAGGTGCATATTGTTTTTAGCGATGCATACAAGGTGCATGGCTTGAATGTCCATGTTCGTCTGAACTCATCACTTTAGTACAGAACTAAAAATAGCCATCACTAAGCCAAAGGCTCCGAAAGGGAGAAGAGAACTTCGCATTTGTGGGATTTTGGGCAGTGTGGCATTGGAAACGAATGCTTCCGGGACCTGTATGTGTAAGTAGGGTAATAAAACAAACACCTCAGCGGTACTGCATAGTAATGTTTGCAGCTTGCATGACAAAATTTCTCGGTTGGGGGTTCTAGTCGATAAAGTAAGACCTGATTTAGCTACTGTATTGGAAACATAGTCCATTAACGATGTGAATGCTACTTCTCTCTCCTATTGGTACTCCTACGTTATGGCTCATAAAATATCAAGTAAAGAGTGAAATAATTCCGCTATACATGAGTGACGACCTAAATATAAGGTCAACTAATGCAGAAGCACATGAAACGGTATAATATTAATCTGTGACGTTAAATTAATCAGCAGTATAGTTAAGGCGAGTAACCTCCCGGACTTCATGTTGCACAGCAAATGACTTTATACTGAACCACAAACTTGAATGGGGTAACAGCAACATGCTTGATGATAACCGACGTGAATGCATCATACGCTAACCAGTTGGAGCACACTGCTTCAGATTCAAGCAACTACTCCGCCGACAACCTACTTTTGTCAGTATTAGGTTTTGGGGTTCAAAAGGTCATCAGTACTACACATTTTAATCCAGTACGCAAAGTATTACTTATAGACCTAGATAGAGAGGTTAAATGAACAGTCACACTTAGGGCCTGAATGTATGTCTCACAAACGGAGCACATGTTCATGACCCGAGACGCCAGAGCTTCGGCTGGCGAATCTTGTTTAATTTAACGCAAGATGCCGGTGTTGAAGGCTTCAATGTGTAATTAGAAGTAGGGTTTCAGAAGACCATTGATGCTGTTCTTTCAACTCGAATCGTTATTAAGAATTTTAGGCCTGGGATACATTAAAGATGGCGTAGAAATATTGACCGACAGACGTGAAGATTAATATTTAGATGCGTAGAAGGTTGATACTAACCTGAAAGAACTTGAGTGCTGGCAGAGTTGTGAAGGCGGTTTACACTTCCCAACTGAGCTCACTCTGGAAGGTTACTTCTTGAGGTATATGAAAAGAAAACCAAGTTAGTAATATTGGTGTGCCTACAAGTCTCAAGGAACATTTGCTTAGAACTGGTCACACACGATCTCTTTGCAAGTTTGAGGTTTAAGTTTTTTTTTTTCGAATCTTGCCGTAAACCCATACTGCGGGCACTGGTAAACCTGGTAGTAGAGCGGAATGTGCTACTTTTGAGGATGACTTTTTCTGGTCCTGTCCCCTTTCTCAAAGTGAAGGCAACATCAGTATGTCACTGCTGGTCATCTTCGGGAAATACCTCACTGCTGTCAAACTCCGCCCATCCAACAGTAGGACTTCACCCCCGGAGCATAGCGATTTGCGCTACAATGGTAACTGCTTTTTATGTGACTATCTAACTGACCTTTGTGACATTGTAGTACCTTGAGGGAACAAGTGTTCCACCAGCATATCTTATCAGGTTACTGTGGTATGCCAACCCGGCCACCACTTCACGGTAGCAGTTATCGTTGGGGTACGCACACACACACACCTGGCTCTTACATACCAACAAAAGGAAGTAATTAACCTCTAGCACTAACCTCTATTGGACACAAGCGACTACATCGTAATGCTTGAGGTTTTGCACATAGGATTTATATTCGCTTCCGCCTTAAACCGACGTCATATATATAAAGTTGGCAGGCTAACAGCCCCTATATATATGATTGTTGAGCGAAAATCATGCATTTTCGTAAAGTGAATTACATTATGCGTCACTTTTGTGATTGTTTAAGACACTCCAGTTTCCTTTCCATAATTTTCCTCCAAATTATCTGCACTTTATTTACTGACAACTGATATACCTATCAGTACAGAGTTCACTTTTAATTTGAACAGCAGTCTTTTTAATGCTTGTTCTTTCAGCCTCTATAGCCGAAATTTTATACGTGATATCCGTACTATTGTTTTACTAGCATAGAAAAAGGAAAAGCAGAATTCGTTTGCTGTCAGATTTAATCAGTGTTGAAATATCAGTCTCTGAAGAACTTTAATTAACTGAGACCGGGCTGACTTTTTTGCTTCAATCACAAACTATTAAAGACATTCATTTCCCCCTTCTCATTTTATTTAGTTGACTACAGTCATCTGAAATACAACTATGGAGGCACTGCTTGCCTACGTAGATATTCCTCAAGATTGTCATGAGGCGATACCTCTTTTGAATCTAGAAAACCCAGTGTTTGCTCGGCTTTTAAAGAGAATGCTAAAAAAGCTAGAAAAAGGAGAAACTTGTACTCGAAAACAGTTGCCCCTGCTCTCAAGTGATGGTGCTGAAGAAGACTCGGATTTCTTACTTATTGGAACAAATCAGGAAGAGAAATCAAATATGCTTTTCGCACGCCTTCCAGATTCTACTGGTGGCAATGAAGTCTACAAATTACCCTTCGTGCGTTTCTCAATTCGTAGGATTAACGGGTGAGTTGTTATGAAACGAAATCCGAACCGGTGTAATATGAATTATTTATTTCGCCTAATATTCTCTCTCGTCTTGCCGTGTTGCCTTTTAAGATTTATTTGCACATCGGTCATGACTGATTTATTTTCTTGCTCATCCGATAGGTTTACTCTGGTAGCCATTTCAAATGATATGCATATTAATGAGTAACTTACACCATTGGTTTGTGCCTGAAAAATATTGACTACAGGACTGAATGACACTGACTGGTTGATTCAGTAACGGAATGCAACCTTCTACAAAGTCATGTTGATCTATGGTTAACCGGATTAATTAAAGTGTAATTCAATTGTTCATACTTTAAGAAGTAGCTGCTTTGAATGATCAACTGTATTAAGGCTATTTGTAATTTACTTCTGTCAATATATGCGTTTCCCTTTTGTGGTTTTAAATTTTTAGACTTGAAAAGGCACAAGAGGATCACAATGATAAAACAAACCGTAAGCCAGTTTCTTGTTCGTCTTTAAGTTTAATAATAATAATAATAATAATAATAATAATAATAATAATAATAATAATAATAAACGTAACTCAATTCAGTGCATGTAATAGTCTGTGAGCCACACTTGTTGTGCGAAGGTTACCCAGACGTTGGTGTGTAAACCAGGTTTCGAACACGTAACGGACTTTGGAAGTTGAACGCCTAGATAGATGAGTCACATCACACATGTAATACAGGGATAATTGTCCAGATTGCAAGACCGTTTGTTGATCGCGAATCAGTGGCTTCTAAATTGTTTCTCTACTGCTCTACAATTTAAAAGAGAAGACTTTAAAAATAATTGGTCTTCGACTTCAATACAGTCTCTAACTATTCCACTCTTAAGTGAGTATATAGAAGACGTGGATGTATACTTGTATTTCATAACCGTCAAGCTGCTCTTTCGTACGAATCTCAATCACGCAACTAATATGAATAAGTGATCGGTTGGTCAGTAAATATATCACATGATACAATACTTTGATTTCACATTTTAGAATATTTCCACCAATTGGAAACCAGTTTACCTTTTAATAGTCTTAACTGTAGTGAACAGTCGTGTAATAATTATCCACTTTAATTTCCTGTTCTGATAAACTGAATTCTAACCATATAGATGTGGGACTTTTCCTTTGTGATAAATTATGCTTCTTCAGTATTTGGGACTCGTCAGCTGACAAGTCCCAAATAGGGCAGAACGCACGTCCTGTAACTTACCAAGATGAATACATCATGAATGTTCGGCAGTATCGAGGCATCCGCATAAGAGCTCATTTGCCAGCAGAGCTCCAGCAGTTTGACCCTGTATAGCAACGGGAAAACTTCACTATTGTCCGATATTTCCGAAATTCCGCTCATATGTATCGAGTATTTTACTAAAAGAATGGAACTCAACCCAGTAAACATGTATATTTGACGGTTTATGACACAACTTGGTTTTCTGGACTGTGAAGTTGGTGAAATGTAAAACTTTGTGATAGTATCGAATTTGCCTGCCGTAGTAAAAATTTATACTGTTGAGTAAAGGCTAGAAATCTAGCTAGCTAATCGCAATGTGGTTTATTGGTTTTTGCACATGGCTTTGAAACAGGTAGACAAGTTAACATAGGTGCACAGGAGTGCACTAGCCGAAGTTTCCACTCTTCACAGCAGCATGCAAAGAAGAGATGAGCAGAAAAAGAGTGATATTAAAGTCGATAAAAGTTTATGGGAGTGAAGAAAATTAAAAAAGTGGTTATTGAAAATATTCAAAACTTCGAGGATGACTGTATGTACCTACACCTCTGTGACTGATTTTAAGCTATATCACTAGTAGTCTCCAACCATTGATTATGGTCTTCCCTCTGACTCTAGCCAGATAGCCTACATTTCTGTGCATAACTCAAATCAACGATTAAAGACTACATTGACCAGTGCCATGTCTCAGCCTAGCCACTTAATCTTCTTATCCACTTCTACTTCAGCTGATCTCTAACATTGAGATCGTGGCTCGACATGCACATTTCCAAACTACCTCAGTCGCTGAAAGTTCACAACCTCGTCATCTGACTTGTGTGTTACGCTTCACCTGACCCAGCGTTGCTCACATATTGGTTCTACGATACAGGCAGTGCTACGACATCATGACCTGTAATTAAAAACGTGTAATTCCTTCATATCTTGAACTTTTAACGACCGTGTCTCAGTCATTCAGTAAGATGGAGCGGCCTACTGATATTAAGTTGTCCCGGATTCAGGTCCTGTTCCATCATCTTGGCAATTAGGTAGTATCATAAGGTTTGACGCATTCAGCATGGGTCATTGCATGTATATACGCGTGTACACGATTCATTTGGATCTTTTTGCACTTTAATAGCCAACAAGAATGCATGTAATGTATCAAAGATGTTTGTTGTAGTTGAGTATCACAAAAGATGTTTTACCACATGCCTTAGGTTTAAGAAATTTGTCTTAAAGTAAACAATTGATCGCCACTCAGTCATTCCCAAGATGAAACCTACAATAACTGAGTAGCGGATTAAGTCTTTACGTCTCACATCACGTTAAGATGCAAAGCAACACAACAAAATAAAAATAATACGATCTGATGTTGTAGGAAGCCACAAGACAAAAAGAATAGTTAATGCCAATAACAATACTTGAGTCATTCATTCAGATAAAGATAAGGTGTGGATAAATCTGCACCACTGCAAAAGAATCTGCTCAATGTCATCCCAAGTCCCTAACGATAGGTCTTGTTTATCTCACGGGTCCAAACCTTTCTTTTATCTGAAACTTGGTATCTGTCCTCCACATTGGTTATACGGTGGTTCCGCTGTGAAACTTACCAAAGCTGACACTACTTCTCGAGTGGGTAAAGTGGTCAAAGCACTCAATCACTTTGTCTGATGTCAGATAGGAGTATTATCTCATACCCATCCTGAAGCAAGAATTTGCATTTGTGAGGTGAGAAAAATTTCAAAAATCCCGTTGTTGTTACCCAGATTATCCAAAGAAATTCATCTGATCAGTGTCTTTACTTACTAAAAACGTTCCTCATTAGTAGAAGAGAAAGACTCAACATTGTGATGGAATGTGATTCTGAGTTGAAATTGGTTACCGTATATCAGGTGGTAGTACAGTCTTATTCATTGAATTATATCATCCGTGGAATATACTTCAGAAACACATACTGTAAAGACAGATGGTGAGGAGAACCCTTCATATGCTATCCAAGACAAATTTAAATAAAAATGACAAGTGTGAGTATGCTTGATGGACATAACGTAGATGTCTCAGTCTGATAGCTCACCGTAGGCTGTAACATGACCATGGTTGTTTGAGTAAAAAGTCTTTAGTAAGATGATATACTCACCGGATACGCTATTCAGTGCGAGACACCGCTTTAAAACATCTTAGTCGATGACGTCGAATGTTGCCTTCAGGCTGGAAAATACTGATGGTGTCAAGCATGAGTAGGCCTATCTGTGTTCCAAGACTTGATGGAGGATGAAAATGTGGCTAATGCACCCCTTTTCATACCTGAAATCTGCATGGCTTTTCTAGGCTTTTTATTCCTGAGGTTCGATTACACTTAAAGTGATCATAAAGCCTAGAACCTTGGACACTATGTTGACCATGCTGATTCTTCTCTGGCTATTTTGTTCCAGTGACTAAGACAGTCAGGGATTCATATCATTTAGAGGTGATCATATTTGATCCGTATGCATCAAGTCATATTTCAGCCAATCTAATCAGTGAACCTGAATGTTTGCGGTTTAATACCTCTCCAAACCCATCAGAACTTGCTACACTTCTTCGTTTACGCTACATATAGCCTTCTCAACTTCTGCAAGAGTTAGAGGTTCTTTATCAATCTCCTATTCAGGCTACGACTGAACAATTTACAGCTAATGCGTAGGTGTTGGCCAACTGAACTGATACTCATAGTATTATGCGCATTGTTTCAGTCGTTCCTCCGGTGATTGAATCATGGACTCATCTTTCTCCGTTATGGCTTCACTGACTGTCGACGTTTTTATACCAGTTTCCTTAAAGCATCTAAGTAACTGTTTACTCATGGCTGTCACCATTGCTCTGTCCATTTCTCTAACCATTGATATCCATCAATTCTGATGGTTATTCAAGGGAATGCTTCGTCAATCTACATTTAAACTTCTTTATGCAGGAATGTGTTCATATACATATTTATTCGAACAAAGCAACTGAGATCTACTGCATCCTTTTTATACTGAGAATCACTTATGGTCTTTACCGCTATTTTCGCAAGTTACTGGGGATGGTGCCAGACGTCTTCAGCACGAGTAATTTTGTCTTGCCCCGATAACCGTATGACCAGTCCCTCTTTAAACGCGTTACTAGCATTTTTATAATCTAACTGGACTAGGAACAGCCTCTCATTTGTATTCCTACATGTGTTCTACATTATGAGCTAAATTCGCTGTTTGACCTAGTGGTACTACTTGGTTGTCTAGAACTGGATTTGTAAAGCGAAGTTCAAATCAACCATCCACTAATTAAAACTCGTGTATGTAACTGAGTAAGCTGCGGACCGCCGTATAGAAAGTTGCAGGAAACCTCAATGAATCATCATTCTTTTACGTATATAGGCCTGAAAGTAATCCACCCCACTTGTTTCACTTTAATTTAAGTGCTATCATTGAATTATTTCAGAATATGGTCCCCATGACTACCAACAGCCCAATTACCAAAACGTTGAATCACAGACACAAAGGACTTGCTTGACTTCTGCTAACTCAGTCCATATTTGATACCGACCTGGGGTCCGCCCAAGAGTTGAGTGCACAGCCGTATAAGGAGATGTAGGCTACCCGTCTGGGGTTCCCGAGACATTTGGAATCATTGGTTGAGAACTTTTGGTGACATGGCTGAAAATCGGTCACAGTGGCGCTAACGGTTGAATATTTGCACTATCTTTTATCTTCAAATTGTTTGTTCTCTACTGCGACACAACTTTGTCTACTTTGATATCACTCTTTGCCTATCTATTTGTTCTTTGCATACTATCGGGAAGTGTAGAAACTTGAACGATGTACTTGTGTGGGAGATTCTGCGTTAATTTTTTCTGCCTCTCCACAACAGTTCACTTTGTTCTTCGATGTAGGTGAGAAATATAGGCATTAAAAGTAGAGTACATGAGAATGTTTCAGGCCTTTGATCACTGTCACCTTCGCAGTTAGACCATGTGTCGTAGTGCCATCACGCCAGTAATGCGGAAGTCAAACGTAGAGTTTTGAGCAGGAGAGAAGAGTCACTGGATGAGGTTGTGAACCTTCATCGACTCAGGTCACTGGGGCATATGCTACTCACACCTCGTCATCATCTACTCCAACTCCAATCTTAGTTGAAGTAGGTTCAGGATGGAAAAAGGTTACAGGTGACCAGATTACAACATGACATCAGTCCATGTAGTCGTTGGTTGATAGTTTGAGTTGTGTTGGTAAATGTTGACTTCCCAGTTGTGGTCCGTGTAACAAGCGAAATCAGTGATTGGAGACTGTGTCGCACCGCTTAGAATCAATTTCAGTGGCGCAGATATATCCATACATAGTCTTCATATTAGTCGTCATACTGAATTTAGTTTTTGTCTTTTCCCTTCCTCTACTCCTTTTGATTACTTCCTTCCTCATTTCTCCATATTTTATTTTGATGCCTTACACCTTACTTTTTGATGGGAAATTTAGCAGCATGAATCTTTACACATTAGTGCCAGATGCTGTGTTGACTCTCAGTCTGTTGTCTTCCTGGTCGACCTTTCTGGTCTCAGACAAATCATACCATACTAGATTTAAAGTTAAGTGATATATTCCGTTGTATCAGGTTTTCATTGTAAATTCAATTCAGTAATTCGTTTCAGACGATCTACTGGTTTGTACCAAATCTGACTGTACAGAGACTAATCACTTCGTGAAAATTGTTATTTTTCCTGCTTTATCTGTCCTACACTCAGTAGGGGACCCCATCGTGTAAGAACACGTCTAAGAAGCATAAAATAATGCAAACACAAGACTTCTATCCTATTTGCCTATCATACCTAAGAGCCATTTATTTCACAAATAGTTAGCCGATATCCAGGTAACCGAGCAGTATTGTTCTGTTGCCATTCTGTTCAGTGGGTTCTGTGAAGACAGTAAAGTTAAACTCTTAACGGTTCAGATGACTTGTAAGAACCAAATCTCAAAATTCCAGAAAGGTTGTTGATTAGCACACTAGGCATACGACTAAACAATTGCGACCAGTGGGTCAAAGGGTCCGAATCTCACACCATTCCCTCTTCTAAACAGTTAACTAAATTCATTTTCTTTTAAAACTGCAGTCGTGTTTCATAGCCTGATGCATTTGTTCGTTGAACTGGTTGTCTGTTGTGTTTGTTGTTTAGTGGAATAACTGTCAACCATTTGGTCAGGGGTTCAAGCTTACCTTCACCTGACGAGGTTTGGACGACCAGGTAGCATCACTAGCTCCCACACAATAAGTGTGGTTCATTGCCTTCTGTAAGGATATGCACAAGGTGGCTGAATGCGCTTTGTTTTCGCCCGTTATTATTTAGGCGTTGTCATAGGCACCGTATTCCTGTAAGTGTATTCACAAGCTTTGTAGAACCCTAAAAGCTGTTTATATTCTACATAATGTGGTTACAAAGTTTTGGTTTTTTCAACTAGATTTTCCTCCAGCAGACCTAGAACCACAATTACTGGATTCTCTTAAACGTCTTGATGATAAAATTGATAATTTCGGATCACAGTTGACTAAATTACTAGAACGTTTACTTCAGAGTCCCAAGGCATCTCGACCTCGACAGCGTAAACCAGCAGCATCTGTTACAAATACTACTACTACTACTACTGCTGCTGCTGCTGTTGGCACTACCTCTGACACACAAAAGTCGGCGCATACATCAGAATCTACATCTGCACCGAAACCTACATCCACCTCAAAGCCTACACCCGTGCCAAAATCTACATCTGCACCAAAACCTGCAGTCGCACCGAAATCTACACCTACGAAAAAGTGAAAACATCTGTTGTTTCTGTTGATAATCAGTTGAAGTCAACTCCGACGAAGTCATTGATTACGCCTGTTTCCGGAACTCCGTCTAACTATACAAAAAATGAGTCGAAAGCGAACATTGAGAAAAAGTCAACCCATTCTTCACCACCGAGTAATTATCCTTTTTTTTTCTTCTGTGGTTATTATATTATTATTTAGGTTCGTATTGCACTGAATCAGTTTTTCATTAAAAATGCCATACATATTTAAATACTTATACTACTTTACTACCTACCAGTCATTTTAAGTTGTGTTCTATATTCTCCAATTAGTTGGAAAATGTATGAATCTGTCTTGCTACTTTTATGTCAATATTGTATACACAGAGAGAAAGGATAGATCAACACAGAATTTGGCACAGGAGTGCACCAGTTCAAGTATATGAATAGATTTTATGTTGACTGCTCGAAGTGGTTACTTTTAAGTGTCTACGGTCTATGACTATCTTTTATCAGGTTTCATTCCACTTTTGTTTATTTTTCTGTACCTATTCTGAATGGGAAGATTTTGCCATGGAGGCGAAGAGCTAACTGCACAACACCAATATGTTGAGTCTAAAAAAAGAAGCATTACCTGTGTTGTCAACCTAAATCTTCCTTTCTATGATAATTGAAATTTTAAAGCTTACTCAGTGCTGTTTCTCAGCTATGCAGATAGATATGTACAAATGATTTGTCCAAAAATTGCCACTTGTGTTTCACCTCCGAAATAAAAAAAAGATTTGTTGTGAAAGTGCAAAAGTAGGGAAACACAGACAGACAAAGTCAACGTAGAATCTCACACCAAACTACTTTGGTTCAAGTGATATCAGAGTAGACAAAGTTGTGTGAGAGAATAAACAATCTGAAGACAAAGGTTAGTGCGAATATTCAAGCTTCAGAAGGTGTCAAGGAGTGAATACATCGACGCCATTGTGACCTATTTTCAGCCGTGTCACCAAGTGTCCTCAGCCACTGATTCCTATCGTCTTGGTGTCGCCAGCGAGGCAGTTTATATCTCCCCACACGACTCAAATCAGCAGTCAGGGACTTCATGGAATGGTGCCAGGTCTTGGTCTGACTACCCTGAACCCTCTCCCAACCTAATTCAGCTTCCCCAATCATGTACATGTCCAAGCCATCTCAGTCGACTAAGGTTCATAACCTCATCGACTGACTTGACCTTCCTACCCTTCGCCTGACTTCAGTATTGCTCACACCGTGGTTCCACCATAGGCGAGCAATACTACAAGGGACTTTTGATCAAAACCCTGTAACCACTTCATCTCTTCTGCTTCTAACGGCAATGTCTAATAGCCGTACAGCAAAGCAGGGAAAACAAACTTCTGAATGTGTTCATCTCAACCATAGTTAAGGCACGTTAAGGAATTTCCCTATGTGTATGTTTTACATTTTCTTAAAACTCTCTTAAAACTGACTTTCTTTAGCTGGGCCAAGAATTATTATTATTATTTTGGAACACAAACATGCTACAATAAGGGACCTACAAATGCCTGACACAATTTAACACTATTTTGAAGACATAAAGCGAAGAGAAGTGATTAGAAGGCGAAAAACACTATGGGAATAGAATGATTAGTAGGGAAATCCAGCAAGATCCATTCAAAACAAGGTATTCACAACTTTTCAGAAGCAGAAGAGAGAAAGAAGCTGCAGCATAACCACCACTGGTTTCGGTTCTGAACCATGTCTGACAACGTCTCAAGGCACTAAGTCGCGTAACCTCTCGAACTCCACCCAGTAAGTCGTGATGCACTAACAGATGCTAACTTGATACAACAGCCAAACCGCTTTTCGAGGTGTTCTGACCAGCGTTCCAGGCGTCTTTGAAGATTGTTTATCGGAGTACCATTTACTTCACAGACCGTCTGTCTCACTGATACGAGGCTTCTTGCTGTCAGTGGCTCGGATGGGCTGAAACAGCTCTTGACTGTTTCCAGATGCCACTACTACTTCCATCTCACTCGCGCGTTCTGACGACCAAGCCTCATAGTCCTTGCATAAGCGATGTGTAGTCTTTCGCATAAGAGACTTACGCAAACCCCTATACTTGCTATCCCCTGGAATGGTCCGACGAATGTCAAGAAGTTTCATGGAGCTCACAGGAATGCAGTGTTTATTAGCTAGACGTTCTTCGAAGCCGCGAGCGGCTTTAATGGCCTTTTTCATGGCATCGTGCTAGTGCAACCAATGCTCGTCTGTACTTTCTGGAGGATCGGTAGCTAGCCTTAAATCTAGCTTGAATTAGTACTTAGCTGCAATACTAGGTGTAACTAGTTTGCTTGCATCGACCTGTTCAAAACGACGGCTTTGATGACCACAAAGACAAGCTTAGCAGACGATAAAGCATGATTAGAATTGAGACAGGTACTCCATCTGTGCACCCTCCCCTTCGGTAGCTGATTGCGATATCTATTTGAGTCTCAGCCTGAGTGGCAGAGTGAGGACGCCAAGTAACACAACAGCCATGGCTGTGCCGAAAGTTGGTGCTGTCTAGAAATAGGTTGTGATCTACGCGAAGCTAGAGAAGACGATCCCCATTATCCGACTTGCAGCCAACTAGTCCCTATTGGCCACCGAGACCCGTGTCCTCTGACGCTAGACGTCTGCGCATTCAAGACCCCAGTTAGCACTACGATATCTGTTCAGCGTACTTGATTGAGGTCACTCAGTTGATGACAGAATTCATACTTATTTGCATCTGGACTGCAGTTTGTCGGAGCATAGGCAGATATAACGAAGACATTGTTTCTCTTGCCGATTACTTCTTACTCGAGTTGAGCCTTACAACTGAACAGCACGTGAACGACTGTTGATGGAGATCCAATCGAGTAGCACAGCTTCGGCTTGATCGCTTAGTGCGACACTGACATCAGCAAGGCCGGTTACCGATGCCCCGGATAAGCACACATGAAACATATATTCCGTGCTGACAGATGGGGATCTAAAAGGAATTCGTTGTGACCTAGAATGTTGTCTGGATGTAGAAATCTTTAGAAGATGGATGAATTTATAGATTGTTGATCTGATCCTTGTGCAAGTAAATACTCATCCACTGTTGATATCCAGAGAACTGTAAAATCCACTGGCGAACGTAAAGATTATCAGTTTGGCAATCTGAAGTAGCTGTGGTTTAGCAGATGATGGATGATGCTTGAAGGTGAAGTAAAAATTTAGACCTCGACAGGATTCGAACTAGCGACGACCGGGTTTCTGGCTCGATGCTCTGCTATCTTAGCTACGAGACCCGATTGCTAAATAGATTTTTATTTCACTTCACTCATCACCTGATATGAATAAATAAATCTCAAGGTATGGATTTTCAAAATGATTTATTCCTTATCATGTTTGTAAAGTATCGCAATATGGGAATGGATTTCATCAGGAGTAAAACACAAGTATCATTGTGTAAGCAATCTTGAGATCAGGCGAAAGGTACTCGGCAACACAGACAAGTAGATTAATGAAGTTGTGAACCTCAGTCGACTGAGATGGCTTGGACATGTACAGTGCATGCCGAGTCATCGCCTACCTCGATGTACCATGCTACGGAAACTTGGATTAGGTTGGAAGAGAGTTCAGCGAAACCAGACCAAAACCTGGCACCTGTCCACGAAGTCCCTAACTGTTGAATTGAGTCGTGTACGGAAATATAGACTACTTGATTGGAGTTCCCGAGACGACAGGAATCAGTGGTCGAGGACTGTTAGTAATATGACTGGGAATCAATGACAATGGCACAGATGTATTAACTCCTAGACCATCTTCTAAAGCTTGAATATTCTCTGTAACCTTCATCTTCAAATTATTTATTCTCTCACACAACTTTATCTACTTTGATATCACTCTTTTTCTATCCAGTCGTTCTTTGAGTGCCACTGTGAAGTGTGGCAACTTGAGGCGATGCACTCCTGTGCTAGGTTCTACGTTGTTTTTGTTAGTCAGTGACAATATAAGAGAATATTGTTCTTCGCAAGAACTCATTCCATTCGTGTATTCTAAAGCTCGGTTGTATTTTTCCCGATTTTCGCTCCAATTTCCATTAACCCTATTTATTCATTATATTTTTATAAGTGTATTAAAAATCGAAGGTTTTTTCATGTCGATTTATACTTGTGAATTTCTTTCCGAGAAATTCAAAACCAAAGCGAACATGCGATCTCCGAACAATAAAGCATACGTTGAAATTACTCATAAAATCCAATACACAGAATATGTCTAAAATTCATTTCTGTATTAATAAGCTGTAGTGACTAATGAATTGTAAACCTGTAATTGTGAGGTATCCGTGAGTTTTCCGTTATCAAACCACCTTATACTGAGAGTACGTCAACACTAAATACTAAGGATGTGTCCAAAGCAAACCAGACGTGCGCGTGTTCCCACGATGAAGTAAAGACAAGCAATAAGTAAATGTTCAAGGTAGAATAGAGCATCAAGAAACAACGTAATGAATCCCAATACCAACATCAACCGGGAAATGGTACTAATGTCTAAGGTGTTTCAATCAAGGTGCGATCTAATGAAATGAACAGTCAAGTTGAATTATACTACTTAGCAATACTAAGTGGTATAAAAGTAAATGTATAAAAAGGAACATAAAGGTAACATTAGATAAACGAGAACAAGATTGAAAAAGAATTAACAATGATTTTAATTACTACATGTATATTTTCTTGTATTCTATGCTGTTCAAGCAGAAATTGAAGAGCATGTCCTATTTCTTTCATCGTCTTCTGAGACTGTAAAACATGCAGAGTACGTGTGCATAGTTATCAGCTTTATACTATAGGTGTACTCACCTTTCTAGACTATTACTAATAACTGCGAAGGTTTCTTTTTGGTGATTTTATATTCTTCACTAAACAAACAAACTTTATTTTAATTATCTTTCGCTTCACTTTACATTTTCTAGATCACTCTTCTGAGGATGTTGTTCCAACGTTTAACTCTTCAGTCGATAACACTATTGATCATGTTCTAGCGCGTATTAATAAAATGAAAGATATTAGCTTGGAATCTATGCCACAAAATAGTCAGATTTCTGTGAATGGGAAAGAGGTTCCTTCAGACAACTCTGTAGATACTGATGCATTTGATCGACATATTGTTGTTGAAGAGTATCGAAATCCTGTTATTGTACCTCAGAGAAATGTTGTTGCCATTTCGCCGTGTGTATCATTCACTGTTAAACCGGTCCAGAGTAGTGCATCATCGAGTAAGCGAAAATATCAACCAATGGAATGTTGTGATGAAGTTATGCCAAAAAATGTCTCTCATGAAGAATATTCTCTAATTGATATTCAGTCAAGTGGTGAAAAGAAGAAGCATAAGCATAAAAGGCGAAAACATACACCTGAGGAGGCGTAAAACATCAACAAAAACCGGTGTCTACTGTATATATATATATATATATATATATATATATATATATATTGCTGTATTCATTTTTGTATATGGTTGTTGTATACTCCCCATTTTGTATATTTGGCTGACACAATCTTTCATGCTTCATATTTTTCACAGCATGTCGCTAGTGCGCGCGTATTGTACTATATACAATGAAAGGAATTCTGTTGTGTAATTTATTCTTATTTATTTGTGCGTGTACTAACTAATATAGGTATTATTTGATCAACAAGACTTTTGGATGCTGCTAATTTTTAAGCTTACTGTGGTAGTGTTCAGCTTATACTCAAACCTGTCACACTTTCCTGTTATTTTTCCAGTGTATACTGATAGATGGTGTTGGATTCCAGGATGTGTTTCTTTGCAACTGTCCACGAGTTCTTGCTGGTACTTGCAGCTGATAACTGTTGAATGAGCAGCTTAAGGTTTGGCATAATTACACACTGACTGACTGACTGATTAACTGACAAAATCAACGTAGAACCTAGCACAGGAGTGCATCGCCTCAAGTTGCCACACTTCACAGTGGCACTCAAAGAACGACTGGATAGAAAAAGAGTGATATCAAAGTAGATAAAGTTGTGTGAGAGAATAAATAATTTGAAGATGAAGGTTACAGAGAATATTCAAGCTTTAGAAGATGGTCTAGGAGTTAATACATCTGTGCCATTGTCATTGATTCCCAGTCATATTACTAACAGTCCTCGACCACTGATTCCTGTCGTCTCGGGAACTCCAATCAAGTAGTCTATATTTCCGTACACGACTCAATTCAACAGTTAGGGACTTCGTGGACAGGTGCCAGGTTTTGGTCTGGTTTCGCTGAACTCTCTTCCAACCTAATCCAAGTTTCCGTAGCATGGTACATCGAGGTAGGCGATGACTCGGCATGCACTGTACATGTCCAAGCCATCTCAGTCGACTGAGGTTCACAACTTCATTAATCTACTTGTCTGTGTTGCCTAGTACCGTTTTCCTGACTTGAAAATTGCTCCTACGGTGATTCCATGAAACGAAAGCAATACTACGAAGATACCTATATTCGAAAAACTATAATCGCTTCATATCTTCTGCTTTCAACGGCCATTTCTGACAGCTGTGCAACAGGACAGAACGGATTACAGCACAGTATACTCATCCTTTGATAGATAGGCGGGTACCTCGCCGGTGCCACAAGTGATGCAAGTTGGTAAATCCCAATTTCATTGAAATAACAAAACTTCACATGGAGAGAGAAGGCAGCTATGTGAAAATGCTAATATCAGGAGTGTAGGAAAAAGCTATTTGACAAAAATAAAGAGGACAAGCGTATGCAACTATAAACTTTTTAAGACAGATGAAAGTGAGGATGAGGTTATGCTCTCTACTATCTCTTATTCAACAGTGTTATATTTGAAATTCGCTTTCTGCTATATACTATGCAGGGTCAAATTAATCAACTTCAGTGGATAGTCTTAGTTGACTTCAATATTGTAACCAGTGCATTGATGTGAATTATAAAGTTGGACAATCAGGAGGAAACGATCAACTTCATATTTGTGGCAAGGTGTCACTTTATTTTTTTATTATTCATTTAAAAGCATGAACATGTTACAGCATAGGCAACAAATGAGATGGTGAAACGTTATAAACATTTAAAATTTGATATTAAGAGGAGCAAAGAAAAACAAAGAAATAAACGGATTATCAAAGAAGCAGTCTGAATGTCGCTTAAAGACTCTATCATCTCTATTCGTACACTCGACACAGCCGTTGTCATTTTTGATTTTGGACCAAGTCTAACAACAATATCTCCTTCCGTTATTATTTGATTACCAAACAGGGAGTCATGGGGTATAAGCCTAACGCAACTGACAGCTAATGGAGTTTTTCAAGATGATACCGCTCATTGACTAGTGACCTTTTTCCTGGCCAAACATTAATGATAGCTGTCGTTGGTATCCTCAAGGCTGAAAATTCTCTTGGTGGCGGATTTGCTATGCCCTTGTGGCTTCAGAACTATCTTGAGAAAGTTATCGATCGTAAAGCTAAAGGAGAATGGGGAAATCCGGCAACTCTGTGTAATCCCTCTGCAGGTGTAGAATAATGGAGAGAGAAAGAGATAGTTGTAGGATTTCATTTTGCCTGGAGTGTTTTTGTCCACAGCTTTTGGCAAATGTTTCCATCTAACATAATTCTAGGGTACACTTCTGTCTAACCAACTGAAGGCATGTGTAATGTCGGTTTTTGACTTACAGTACGTTTTAAGGCAAAGGTCACAGTTCTTGCCAAAAGGAAGCCGTCTAACTATCTCCTGTCAGATTCTGCAAGGTTATTTTCACTCTAATTACCGTAGTATATTGACGTGGGTTTGATCGCCCCATTACCTTATAAATAAGAGGTGAACTTGAACAGTGGTAGGGCGGTATGCTGTATTATTCGTCCTCAGCTAATGCGCCAAGACATTTCTGTTTACGTTATTAGTCGTGCTGTGTCTGATACAAGTGTATTAGCGTAGAGTTCTTTACTGTAGTTTCACGTTTCTACTGAAAAGTTAAATAAAGTGAAACAGATTATACACAGAAAGAAATATCGTAGCATAAGATTCATTTCAGTAACTTAAATGATCTACTTCCGAGTAATTGGTTCGAGGTTTTCTTTCCATATTGTTAAACTGGTCATCCCAGAATTAGTGATTGAACTATCTGACGTTAACATTCTGCTCGAGCTACTACTAACTAATCTCTAGTGTTAATGATATCCTTAATATGCCTCTCATCCTCTTAATCTGCATCAGCCTTGTTAAAAATTCGCTTGGACTTTCAGTTGGCTAGTTCGCTCTTGGTGAACCATCTTGCGATAACAGAAAATGTGAAAGACGATTAGTTTGAGGTTGGCGGATTTTGAAATGCCCCATAGAATGGCAATGAATTATTTAAACTTACGTTAGTTTTTTCTGCTTCTTATGGCATACTGCATGCCTGCCTGACCCAGCCAACCATTCTGGATACTGAGACACTGATGTTGTTGCTTGTATTATCCCTTCTTTGAGAGACAGGGAGAGAGACCGATCAATTAGGTCCACTCAACGACGGGATAATGTAAGCAACAACATAAAAAATATACTCGTCGTACAAGAAGTGGCTACCTTGGTTTGTTAGTCTAGTGGATAACGCTGTGGCGTTTGAAGCAATCGGTCCCAAGTCTAGGTCCTAGTGGGAACAACATGGCTCATTAGGAGGTAAGCACAACCAGCTGGCGAGTCCTGAGCAGGACGAAACGTGCTTCCTTGATTCCACTGCTAACCATTATCCGTCATTACAACTGGAATATTGGTTGACAGTTAATAATGTGAGAGACCACGACTGATACCAGAATTTGAAAATCTGGTTAATATAACCTTATTCACTATTTATGGATATCCTTGCACTAAATTGACATGTCCTCCTATACAAAACATTGCGAGACATACTCGCTGGGATACATGATCCACTGATACGTTTACGACGATGCGCATAAGTACAATGAATGAAATTCTTTGTGTTTTCAATGGTTACCTGAGATTTCCTTCAGCTTCTTATTCCAGGTGGGGAAAATGCAGACAAGTTTTAGATAGGTAGTCCCCCCCAAATTATTCCTAGTAGACTATTTTTCTAGTAGAAGGACCCTGATGTAGTTTATGGTTCGGATTTATGATGTTCATATGCAGCTTGACAGCAGCAAGTAATAAAAAAGAGAATTTTAGTTCAAGAGCATTCATCACTTCAGTGATAGGATTCAGGAATCTATGCTTCCAACGAAAGACTATGACGTATAGAGTTTCTAGTACAAGTTCGGTTTCCGGAAATTTCTTGCATAGTTTGACAGTCGTAAAATGTGGACGATGGAATTCACTTCATAATTTAACACGTCTACTTTTATTTCATGTGATATGTAGTCATGCATGACAACACTGTGGCGCATACTTCTCTTTCCTGCATGCATACCCATATGTTCGAACCGAATACCATATCTCAGATAAAGCATTATGATGCTTTTCCTCTAATATACCCAAATTTGACACTTAATCATATCGTTGTCTTAGACAGTATCTAGTTTCGGCACTGCCCCGCCTGTCTTCAATCCACGGTAACCCCCAACTACATTAGGCACTGTTACACAAGGTTATATGTGTTATAAGACACTGGCTTAGGCAGGAAAAAATAATTTATTCAAATATCTGAAGAACTGCTGACAGGATGCATCATAAAGTGGGACACCGAATGTCGTGATATTCTCGAATTTATCTTACCCGGGTAATGTACCTTAATCTTGGTAGTATTTCAACGTGAGGCTTCGGCAACTTTAAAGGCTACTATAATAACTGCCAAAATAACCAGTCAGGTTGCGGTATTTTGGGTGAGAAGACAACTTTTCATAGGATAGAGAAATCTGACTGGCTGTTTCATCAGTTGCTCGAGTGACCCTCAAAGTCTCTATGAGGTTTATTTTCCAGTATAAATTGGAATAAAGTTATCGGCTACTTTTGGAAAATAGGCATATGCACAAGGCGGTTGAAGGAAATAAGCAAAGAAATATGCTAAACCACACTTCTGCGTTTAGTGCTACTTGTTAATAAGCATATCTATACCTTCAACGTAAGTGAAGTCCATTTGGAAATCCCGAAACATGTGAACCAGTGCAATAGTCTGAAAGGATACCAATGAGCTGTTCGATGGGCGTTTGACTTCCTTTAGCATTATTGTACTGCATACAGTGATTGATCATTCAAGAGTAATCAGTTTCATACTGTCCAGTCTTAAGAGTTGGACCAAATTCTCTGTTTTTGGAAATGCTCTCACCAAGCCATACGACTCACTATCGTGATGAACTTTTGACTTATCAACAATGAACATAAGTGGTGGGCTGAGTAAATTTTTGGTTACCAAAAATACTTCATCAAATTACTTCCTGTTTACTTGTTTTAACCATTCAAATGTCAA